TCTCATCTATATATGCACCTATTGCTCACTTTTCCATTTTTTTCTTTAATAGCATTATATATATTGTTTCTTTTTTGCAGGCAACAAGAGCAAGATTATGAAACGTCACCTGGTTTTAACAGAAGAATTATTGAAGAAACATCCCAACTTGTGCACATACAACGAAGCTTCCCTTAACACCAGGCAAGACATTTTGGTGTCGGGGGTTCCTAAGCTGGGCAAAGAAGCTGCCATGAAGGCTATAAAGGAATGGGGTCGCCCCATTTCTGAAATAACCCATTTAGTGTTCTGTACAACCAGCGGCGTTGACATGCCCGGTGCAGATTTCCAACTCACAAAGCTACTGGGCCTAAACTCATCCGTCAAACGCTTAATGATGTACCAGCAAGGTTGTAACGCCGGCGCCGCCATGCTCCGGCTAGCCAAAGATCTGGCCGAGAACAATAAAGGTGCTCGCGTTCTGGTGGTGTGCTCGGAAGTGATGTTAAGTGTATTTCGTGGGCCAAGTTTACAACAAGAAGATAATCTTTTGGCGCAATGTTTATTCGGCGATGGCTCGGGCGCCGTGATTGTTGGGACAGAGCCTAGGCCTGGTCTTGAAACTCCATTGTTTGAGTTGGTCTCTTCCGCACAAACAATCATTCCCGACACTGATTCGCACCTTAAACTGCAGTTGCGAGAGATGGGGCTTACATTCCATTGTAGCAAGGCTGTCCCTTCTCTCATTACCCAGAATGTTGAGGATTGTTTGGTGAAGGCGTTCGAGCCGTTTGGAATCTCGGATTGGAATTCAATTTTCTGGATTTTGCACCCTGGGGGCAATGCCATTCTGGATGGCGTTGAAGAGAAATTAGGGCTCGATCCCGAGAAGTTGCGAGCGTCAAGGGACGTTCTTTCCCAGTATGGGAATTTAACAAGCGCATGTGTGTTGTTCATATTAGATGAGGTGAGAAAGAAATCCAAGAAACAGCAGCAAATGACTACTGGGGAGGGCTTGGAATGGGGCGTGCTTTTTGGCTTTGGACCTGGACTTACCATCGATACTGTTGTCATTCGTAGTGTGCCCATAAATTAGCTGGCTTAGTTCGGATCGGAGTAATTTTTATTTTTAAACAATTCATGCATACAATTAAACATTATTAAGATTGTTGTTTAATTGTCATTATATTAGAGGAAATCCAGCCTACTATTACGGTTAATTTTAGGACTTTTGGCAGCACACGGAGATAACACAATCAGTTAGATGGGTGGATTCATCGGAAGAGAAAATAGAAAATGACTTTGAAAAAAGGAATGGCTATAAAATCTGTGTTTAGCTTTATGATTTCCGAGTGCTCTCTGGACTTGCTAAAAGATTGCCTTCAACATTTTGACGGATCGGAGGCCTATTTATAGGTGGCCGGCCTACACTAACTAAATACAAGCATTAATGCGCAGTAATGAGAAATAAAGGCTAAGAGACGTTGGGTCATCGTTACGAGACTCTTCCAACAGCCGGATTGACCCATATTAATGTCAGGCATTGGAGTGGCAACGGTCATCTGTTAGACTGACTCTCGTTGATGCCGACTCTCCGGACTAGGCTCCATACTCGTCCGAGCTCTTCACGAGGTCTTCTCAGGACCCATGGGGCAGATTCCCCTATTCTTTTTGGGCTCATTGCAACAAGCTCATTCCTTTATTTATTCTCCTCTTGGACCTTTAGCCCACTGGGTCCATACCCCATTAATTACCATGTTTTATTGTTACTAGTGTTCCTTGCATTGGACTCCCAACTGCATCAGTCATTATATCGTGGACCGCGGTACATAATCGATTATACACCGCGCATCAAAATAACGCCGTTTCTTTAAGTAAAGAAACGACGCTTTGTTAGTGTTAACGGAGTGACACTACAGTGTATGTATCTAAACCGACCCTGCCTCACGTATTATTTTTATATTATCAAATGAAATTGCAGTTATATCAAAATGATACTGTAGTTGTGGTGAAATGAAACTTCAGTATATACAAAATGAAACTGAATATCATTTAACATATTAGAGTGTATATCGTACCGAAGCTCCGGTTTGGCGTTACAACCGGAATGAGAAACCAGGTTGCTGGCAAGGGGGAGAAAGTGTTTGATAGTGAAGGAGAGGGAGCTTAGTAGATTTGGAATTATGGTCTCCGTGAAAGTATTTGTGGAAATGAGAAGTCTATAGAACCGACATAAAACAGCAATGGCATTAGGAAGGACTGAAGGAGATGGAAGAAAGTGATAAAATGACAGTTTTGCCCTTATTATTGATAGCCAACTAACTGATAATTAACGGATGACTAAATTAGGTAAATATTGCATAGTTGAGGACTTAATTGAGTAAGAATCATAGTCGAGAATCAAATTGCTAAGAGTTAATTCCTGCAATAGTCCTCCGACTATTGCGATTTTCTAAAATTGGTCATCGTCTTTCAATTTGGACAAAAAAGACACTTGACTTTCATATTTGTTCCAGCATTGGTCCTTCTGTTGACATTCAGTTAGTTAGGCGTTAGTCTATGGGCTAAAATGGTCTTTTCCTTGCGTATTGCTTTCTTTTTCCTTCGGGAACAATCTTAAGCGTTTGAGACTTTGGGTCCCCTTGTCCAACACTCCAATCGCCTAATTACAGAGAGAGGGAGACGGAAGAGGGAGGACTACGACGATGAACACAAGTAATCACTGCAAATTTCTTACCCGTTCAGAAGAAGATCATCATCGTGGAGACCCATGCGAGCATTGGGAAGGCTATTCTGGAGGTTCCGACGGGAGTGGCTATTCTCATTGGAAGCTTGCGGAGACAAGTCTTTTGGTGGAAAGAGAGGGAGAACCATGGTGGTAGGGGTCGTCGCCATTGGCTGGTTGTCGTTGCGATTACCTCCGCCATTCTGCAGCGACGACGGTGGGAGGAGGAGAAAGGTGTCACCGTGATTGTTACTCGACGAGAACCGAAGACACGAAATAACACCGTACCAACTGAACAAAACAAAGAGAGAAAGGAGCAGAACCCGTGCCATAATTTCTAGGGTCGGGTATGGCTCAGGCGGTTGGTCGGTGTTGAAAGGAGCAGAACCCGTACATGACCCAGATGTGGCCGTTCAACAACAATCCAAACCAGCTTGCTTGGTCGGCGAACCTCGATTTCCACGCACTAGTACAAAATGGAGCAAAGAAATTAGAGTTTAAGCTACCCTTCTTTAAACAAGGGTAGTGTATTATTTAAAAAAAATAGGGCGGTGGCATTATTGTAAATAAATGAATAAGAAACCGCTACCCTTTCTAAAATAAGGTAGCGGAAAAAAGACGAAAAGAGTTTCCCGCTGCCCTTTCTCGTAGCAAGGGCAGCGGAAACAATATCTAAAAAAAAATCAAAAAAGAAAAAATAATTCTCGTAGCAAGGGCTCACAATCCTCAACATTTCTCTGTCCTCACCTCCCTCCCTCAACACACGCCGCCGTCGTCGCCTCACCTCCCTCCCTCAACACACGATGCCGTCGTCGCCTCACCTCCCTCCCTCAGTACACGCCGGCGCCGACGCCTCACCAGCGACTCCCTCAGCCACCGCGACAGTTCTCCTCAGCCGATCGACGTGCCGCGAGTTCCACCTGTTCATCGACTCACCGCCGCAACGCTCTCATCCGCCGTCTCCACCGCCACAGTTATCAGTCGCCGCCGCTGCTTCGTATCAGGTATCAATTGGTTTTCTGTGTTTCTTCTCTCATCCTTCTGATAATTGGGTATGCCTCTGGAACCTTACTTTATTTTTAGGTCTCTCTCAAGATCCAACTACTATTTATTTCTAAAGAATAAACTCTAAAACACAAAGAAACATGCTTCTGAAGAAATTTTTTCCATACGGTGTTTCTTCTTCTTTTAAACCTTACTTTGGTCTGAAATTTCTCTGTAAACAGTGGGAATAGTCCGGATTACAATATCTGTAAAATCAATTACTCCGTATATGAAAATGTCACAATCCAAATATAAGCATGGAAGAACAGTATGTATAGTGAACTAGTACAGTCATTTATTACATTGTATTCATTATATATATATATTTGGCACATCATCCCTCTGGCAAAAAGGGGGAAAAAGTCTATGTGGTTCTAAACTTATATTTATCTTAATAGGTTAACCACTGCCAGAGCTTCTACCTAGCCAGCAAGAATGGCCCTCAGGCCCTTTGCCATCCACTTAACCACCACACTCATGGTCTCTAACTCATAAATCATTAAATTGTGATGTGGCATGAATATTGAAAAAAAAAATGGAACTTTGCCATACATTTTTGTAATGATTCCATCTCTTATGTATTAGCCATTAGGTTTTCCAAACAACTGCTGTTGGCCTAGGGCAATCAACCTGTGTGGGGATTGGTGGGGACCCTTTCAATGGTACAAATTTTGTTGATTGCTTAGAGCGATTTGTTGCTGACCCACAGACTGAAGGTAAATATTTTCCTATAGTATGCTGTGGCCATCGTATTTGTTCTTTGGCATGTTGATCTATTTATGTTTGTTTCTTGGAATAACGTTTTGTTTAGCAGGTTGTTTTACATTCTTTCTCTACTTTTTTCTATTTAATTAGTTTATAGCAAAATTAGAGTTTGAGGCCATTGTAAAGCAACAAATTGATGATCAGTATGTAACTATGTAACTGAACATTTGTTATGTTGTTTTTTTTTAGTTAGACCATTTGTTATGTATGTTCTACTAAGGTGCATAAAGTACCATTATGTGTGACATTCCCAAATCTTTTCCCTTAGACCTTGGTAAAATTCCACATGATGTTCCTGCATAATGTATGTTGGCTATTCTATTGCTCCATCTTTGATATCACTTGCCGTTGAGAACCAACTTGCGTGTTCTATCCGTAATTTACCTCGACTCATAATCTGTAGCACTAGAAGATGTATTGGAGTCTTCATTGTGACAACTTTTATGGATTCACTTCTTTCTCTAATTTCTCAAGATGAAAAGGTTAATAAGTTTTCATATATTATTCAATTCGTATAGTTATCTTGGTTGTCTTGTTTCTTTAGTATGTTTTATGTTTGAAGTTTGAGTCTTTCTTGTGATTGACAAATAGGAGGGAGGTGATGAGGAAGATACAATAATAAGGTTCAACTTCATGCTTTGCTTTGTATTTTCAATTTGCATGGATATGGTCTAGTGTGTCAAGCATTTTATTAATTACTTCATTCTTGACAGGGTTTATTTCCATATGAGTTGTTTGTGAAGCTTTTTAACTCAAAAAAGGTTGAATTACGTCCATTTGGCCTCACAAATTGCGGGAACAGGTATGTAGAGCTAAGATAGATCGTTTGCTCATCATGCTTTATTTTGACTATCCATTTAACATATTCATTACATTCTAGACTAGCTAACCAGAGATACTCTGTATAATTTATGAGATCCCATAGAGCATAAATTTCTTTTTTGAATTTCCATCCAACATTGTTTCTTTTTGGCTTGTGTGTTTCACCTTAGCTCTAATTTTAAGCTATTAGACAGTTGATGTTTAATATTTATTTATCATTCCTTAGCAATATTGCATCTTTCTTTTGATTGTTCTAGCTCATCGCTTGTATTTATTGTAACTTTGTCCAATAATGCATGATTGGACATATACTGACAAAAATTGTCATATTTCCAATTTAATACCAGTGAGCTGCTACTGGTTGTTACCCATGTTTCTGTATTTTTAATAATCCGAACTTCACTCTAATAGAGAAAGCTTTTAAGTGTTGACTTTTTTGGGTTTTACAAATGCATGACTTTTATTTAATATCCTGCAGTTGTTATGCTAATGCTGTCCTTCAGTGCCTAGCGTTTACTCCACCCTTCACGGCTTACTTCCTTCAAGGCTTCCATTCAAAAGGATGTATGTTTCTCAATAATAATTTTATGCAATTGATTTTTGAATCTTATTCTCTCATTAAAAGAAAGTGATCCTGTCTTGTTTTCATATTCTTGTTAGGTGCAAAGAAAGATTGGTGTTTCAACTCTGAATTTGAGAGTTTAGTTCTAAAAGCAAAGAATGGGAATTCTCCGCTCTCCCCTATCCGGATAATTTCCCATTTGGAAAATATTGGGAGCAGTCTTGGTAATGGGAGAGAAGAAGATGCTCATGAATTTCTCAGGTGAGCTTACTTGTACAGCCTTTGAGATTCGTTCACTTTACTCCTCCAAATGCTCTTGCATAGTTGACTCATATTGAAATTGTAGGTATGTCATTGAGACCATGCAATCTGTTTGCTTAAAGGAAGCAGGTGTCCGTACATCATGCTCTTTGGAAGAGCAGACAAGTCTCATTGGGCTTACATTTGGGGGCTTCCTTCGTTCAAAGGTAATCTGTGGTCTTCTAGGAGCTTGTAAAAATTTTGATTTATATGATCTCCATAGAAATTCCTTCCTGATAAATTAATGATATAATTTGTAGATTGAGTGCATGAGCTGTGGAGGCAAATCTGAGAGGCATGAAAGAATAATGGACCTTATAGTTGAATTGATGGAGATATTGCAAGCCTGGAAGGAGCTTTAAAACAATTCACACATACTGAGATTCTTGATGGAAGTATGAAGTGAATGATGATGAGGAAGACGGCAGTGGAGAGGTTTGTCAACGTTTCATTACGAGCTTTTAAGTACACTAGTATTCAAAAAAAAAAGTACACTATACACTGTATTTATTTATGATCGATCTATGTGATGAATGTAGCATGCTAATCATATTTAAAGATCATGTGCTTTATTCCTTCTTTTTATACATGCATATATACTTAAAAGTATAAAGTATCTATTATCATATGCAAATTTATTATGTAAGTTTTAGTTTTGGTTGCATGCTCATCACTTTGAATAAAAAATTATTACATTAGGAATAAGTGATCTTGCTCCTTTACTTTTACTTTAGTATTTGATATAGTGTGTCGATAATATTGTGTTAATATGTAGTGTGTTGTGTGTTGATAATATTGTGTTAATATGTAATGTGTTGTATGTTGATAATAATGTGTTAATATATAATGTGTTGATAATATTGTGTTTTGATAGTTTATTGATAATAGTGTTTTGATAGTTAGTTGATAATATTGTGTTTTGATAGTTTATTGATAATAGTGTTTTGATAGTTTGTTGATAATATTGTGTTGATATGTACTGTATGAATTTCGTATAGGATTTTTAAAAAATTGGGGATTTAAAAAAATGTTTTTTTTTTAAAAAGAAAAAAAAAATCCGCTACCCTTCTTTTGTAAGAAGGGTAGCGGATGCTTTAAAAATATAATAATATTCACTACCCTTCTATACAAGGGTAGCGGAAAGCTCACGACTTTCAGAGTCCCTCACATCCGCTACCCTTGTACAAGGGTAGCGGATGACCATTTACAAGGGTAGCGGATGACCATTTCTGTACTAGTGACGGCGGCATAGACCCTCTTCCGTTGTCGCACCATCTCGGCCTAGGAATGTCAAACTAGCTTGCCAATTACCCAGATTTGGTTCTCGAATTCATAGAACTGATGTCGGCCGCTCTCATCGATGCGGCTGACGGCCAAGGAATAGCCACATCAGGGCCGATGCGGAGGACCATTGCCCAGAACGAAGGCCGCTCTCGCCGATGCGGCGCACCACCGCCCGTCACCAACTCCCCTGTTTTCTAGGCCATTGGCGCCGTCACCGTCCATCAGCACTAAGTTTTGTATAATTCCGGCCAAGGAAGGGATTTTGTTATTCTGATGATATTTGAAGGGAGAAAGACACTGTTTCAAAAAAAAAAAAAAAATGGACGGAGAAAGACACTAAGCATTGAATGGACAATTTTACCCCTTAGTTTAACATCCACTTAACTTTCATTTGATGGAAGGACCAACATTGGAAAGAATTCGAAACTCAAGTGTCTAAATTGTCCAAATTAATAGTCAGGGACCAATTGTGGAAAATCAACATAGTCAGGGGACCATTACTGGAATTAACTCAATTGGTAATTATGGCATAGTCGAGGGACCATTTTGGTTATTAACTCTAATAATAAATTAAAGAATATGAGAGCACAGACACATATGTTTATAAACACTTTTTACCCAAGAACTCCTAACGGAATTTAGCCACACATGGCTAAATTATACATAGCTAAAGATAATAAAGAAAATACAACTTATAAAAAAGAGTACAAGATTGAACCATGCAATTTTTCCAAATCTCCCTAGCTTTCTTCTTACTTCCCAAGACAACTTGTGGCTCTTGATTTCTCTCCTTCTTGTCTCCAAAGATCTCTGAATCCCCATTAGGGTTGAGGAATATGGGATTATATAGTATGTGCAGAGCTAGAACCAAACCCAGTAGAAATAGAAAATTTCCGCGCAAATTAAAAACGGGTTGAAAACATCGCCTGGGCTGCATTTCGCTCGACGTATCGAGACTAGGCTCGACGCATTGAGCCCATGGTCCTCAATTTCTCGGACGAGCACTGCCCGACTTCGACGCGTCGAGTCGGGGTGTCGTTTTCTTGCATCTCGGCTAGTGCTCGCTCGACGCGTCAAGCGGGGGCTCGACGCGTCAAGACCTGCTAGTCTCGGCCAAATTGCTTACTTGAAAATTTGGACGTTGGCTCGACGCGTCGAACTTGCTGTGCACACGCTTTTCGATCTATTTTTACTCCAAATTTGTCATCGAGCTCCCCTTGCGTTTAACATTGACTTACAATGGTTCAAAAACACTAACAAACACCGTAAAACATTCAAAACGATTACGAACCATAACTAAATGATAAAAACAATGGATTGTGCAATTAAAATGCAAAAATCATGAACCTAAGCCTAACAAATATAATCAAACTAATACTAAAAATGTGCACAATTGGACTCACATCACTAAACAATCAAAGCATTCCACATCATAGAGAATATAAAATGGGAATACATGCTAAATATATAGCCTTGATATTTTCAAAATTTTATAATGGCTTGTTTGGTTCACGGAAAATAAATTTTTAATTATTTATTAAATTTTAAAAAAAAATTTTATCTTGTTTGGTATGTTGTTGGATTTTTTTTTTTTTTTTTTTAAATAATCAAGATTTTTTTACAAGGTAGTATTTATTCTATAGAGAATTTGTTCTAATGAAAAACAAATTTTTTAAATTTCGCCAGATAACAACAACAACAACAACAACAACAATAATAATAATAATAATAATAATAATAATGATAATAATAAAGGAAAGTGACTGCATGGAGCAAGTCTTTTGTTAGTTGCTAAGAGCAGCCCCAATAGGGGATCTCGAATGGTTTTTGGTACAGTAAAAAATTTGTTTCTTGATTTTTTAACTAATGTGGAAGTTGGTATTTTGTTGAATTTTTCTCCTGCAAGTGATTTGAGGAAAAAAAAAAAAGAAAAAAAAAAGAGGCACTTAAGCGCACGGTCGCACAAGTGGCCGTGTGCCGCTGGGGCGCTTTAGAGTGGCAGCCAGCCAGCTGGCGGCCATTCTAAAATGAAACTTCTTCTATCTATTTATTTTTATTTTTAAGCTATTCGTTGCAACAACCAACTTCTTTTTATTTTTTATTTTTTAAAAGTGTTTCTTGTTTAGTTTTGTTGTTAAGTTTTAAAAATTTAAACAAAAATGTATGCAATATAAATGTAGTATATAATTTTGCTACCATATTATTAGAATTGAAAATTTATAATTATAAATTTATTTTAATCTTGACATGTTTAATTTAAATATAATACAAAATAATAATTGTAATTATAATTTTTTAGTGATAATAAATTAAAAAACAATTAAAATATAGTGAAGTAAAATGATGGACCTACAAAAAATTTAAAAAAAAAAATTAAAATTAATGGGGAAAAGAGTTTTTGTGATTGAATAAGATAATAGATGCTAAAGTGGATAAGTCCACAAAAAAAATAAGAAAAATTCTCAATTATTGAGGATGCTCCAGCATCCACATTAGTTGGGAAGAATGTGGGGATAATGTAAGAGTGATTAGGAAAGAGAATGGAGGAGGGGAGAGAAAAAAAAAAAGGAAAAAAAATAGAGAAAATTGATTTAAAAAAAAAAAATTAATGCTGTCAGGCGCGCCAGACGCACCACCGGGCGCGTGCAGTGCACGCGCCCGGCTTTTGCCCAAGGCTGTGCGCGTTTCGCGCACAGCCTTGCTTCTTCTTTTTTATTTTTTTTTTATTTTTCTGACAATATGCCTACATTTGCAAGATAAATATTTCCCAATTATCTCCACTCTACATTAGTTATTATCTCTTATAGGAAAGAATACAAACTGAAATATCTTCCTATTATCCACTAGTACTGATGCTCTTAGATAAACATAGTACAGTGGACCTACTTTTCTGGATTTGAGTGCCATTGTCAATCTCAAGCCAAGGTCGACTTTATCATGCACCATTGGCCAACTTGTGTGTCTTGGGTTAACCTTATACACTTTGAGTTGGATGCATCATTGGACAGTTGTTATATTATAGACCGCGGTGCATAATCGATTATGCACCGCGGCCCATATACGGCGCCGTTTCTTTAAGTAAAGAAACGGTCCGCCGTTAGAGTTAACGGAGTCCGTTTGTTTGGTGTATTAAACACCAACTGACACTACAGTATATTCAAACCGACACTGCAGTTATATCAAAATGATACTATAGTTATAGTGAAATGAAACTGCAGTGTATATAAACTGAAACTGAATAACATTTCACATATTTGAGTGTATATTGTACAATGAAGCTGTAATTATATCAAAATGATCATGTAGTTGTGTTTTAATAAAACTATAGTGTATATAAAATAAAATTAAATAACATTTTCACATATTTGAGTCTATAAAATATCGAATGAAACTATAGTTATATCGAAATGAAACTGTAGTTGTGTTCAACTGAAACTGCAGTGTATACAAAATGACACTGAATAACAGAGTTACTTTTTATAAAAGGGTGCGAAATGGCGGAAATAAACACTGTTAATTTTCATTTAAAAAAAAAGACGCGCGGTGCATAATCGATTATGCACCGCAATGCATAATATAATTTGCCATCATTGGAGTGGGACATTTATATTATCACAATGTTTTCAGAAATATCACTCATTCAAAAAAGAGTTAATTCCAATGTTTGTTAATACAGGGTATATCAGTCCATTTTTAGTCTTTCTTTTTTCAGAACATCTCTTTTGATTATAGTATTATTCTGAAATATAACGATCATTTTTAGTACTAGTATTATTCTGAAATATAATGATCATTTTTAGTACTCCGTTAACAAAATCATTAAAATATCGTTAAATGCATCAAAAACATTTTGATATTTTTTTTTTAAATACAAATTGAGTTGACTCGTTATATTTATATTTATATTAAAAAAAAATCATAATTGAAGATTCCTTATATCTTACATAATTTAAACATTTTTTTAAAGATTTCTTGCACATTTTTCTTGAAATCATTGACTAGACTTTTCTACGTCCACCCCAAATAATGTGAGGATGTAGAGCCAAATTCT